TTTATATATAACATGTTGCATGTACCCACACTTCCGAATTTTCATACCCAAATTGAATTATATGTGAGGTACATGTACACACACACCCGACTCACAGCGTCAATTGCCTCATATCTCTATTGCAGTTGCGAACGGCCTCCACGCTATTCTTCAAGATCAAGAACTTTAAGACGGCGGCTTCCTTTGCGCGCCGTCTGTTGGAGTTGGGCCCAGCGCCAGCGGTATGCACATAACACGCACTATAACATATGAAGTTCGGTATCTCTGACAACCCATTGCACATGTATAGGAATGCAAGAGTGTAGAGTTCTGTGGGTGGGTCCCAGGGTTCTAGGGTGAAAAGAAAAAATGTGTTAAAAGTTGAAGGGGTTTTACATATAGTTTACGCGTCGTCTAGCACATTGCACGTACTTTGAGTTGTATTGTTCGCCGCATTTGTTTCCGTTGTACTTGAAGCCGTAAAAGCCCTACACATCGAGTGCTAAGGTTTATGGTCCAAGAGTTTAGGGTTCAGGTTCTGTTGGTTGGGTTGAACGTCCTGCAGCGCTTGTTTGGATTCTTGCACAGCACATAAGTGTTAACGATACGTTCTAAAAATTGCTCTGGCACTACCCACGACTTACCCATATCCTCAATACTGACTATTAACTATCCACCTACTCTCTGCAACGACTTGTCGCACGAGCTCACTGTGTACACTCACATGGGTCTCTACCGCCCATGCCTCAGGTAAAACCAATTCAACTAATTTGCACTAAAACTATCTCTGGCACCAGCACCGGTACCCTCAGATACAACTAATTCGCACTAGAACCATCCCTGACACCAGCACCAGCAAGGAACCCCGCCCCCCCCCTTATGCCTATCATACTGACAATCTTCACTCATTTTACCTACCCCTCCCCCCCCCCCCCACAAACAGGTTGCGCAACAAGTGCGAAAGATCCTGGCGGTGTGCGAGAAGAATCCCACAGACGCACACGCTATTGACTACGACGAACACAACCCCTTCACGCCCTGCGCCAAGAGTTACAAGCCTATCTACAAGGGAACGGCCAGTGTCAAGTGCCCGTACTGTGCCTCCACCTTCCAGCCCGAATTCAAGGGTATGTGTGTGCACGACGACAAGATATTTTCATGCTTGTGTTTGTGTAGGTATGTATAGATGTATGTATGTATGTATGTATGTATGTATGTATGTATGTATGTATGTATGTATGTATGTATGCCAACCTGCGATGGCATAGACAATGTTAAATGTTGGAACTGAGCCTCCCCCTTCCAGATCGATTTCACGTATATCATTTGTTTCTGATACTGTGCAATACATTTTAAATTACACATACACGTTTTAAATTACGCAGCATTCGTTTTAAGATACGCATACGTTTTAAATTATGCAGGAGAACTATGCCCCGTGTGTAATCTATCGCAAATCGGCAAGGACTGTATGGGTCTACACATCAGCCGCGCTCAATTGCAGAGATAAACCCTGGTTTTCGTCTTGGGTACAAGTGAACCATGAACCTGCACCTGAGTTTCCAGGATAGGCTTGAGCGCGTGTTCCATGGAGGCGGTGACGAGTAGATAGTGATTTTAGTATAGTATACATACGGATTAAAAACAAACGTTTGTGATTATTTGACCCTGCGAATTGTTAAATGATAATCGGCTGAGGATGGTAGTTTTCGATAGATATATGGTGACTGCAAAGGTGTTTCACTCACTATTCGAATTTTGGGAGAGAAAGAGAAGAAGAACAGACGCCAAATAATTATTGTCATTGATTGCCCCACCTCAATAGCTCTACAAGTCTAGCCTGTAATTGTAGAATGAGACTCCAACACGGACATACTCTTGATAATAACCAATTGGTAGCGTATCTAAGCTTGTGCATACACACATCAATGTATACACAGAGATAGAACAGAAGAGCTGACGCCATATAAATATTGTCATTGATTGCCCCACCTCAATAACTCTACAAGTCTAGCCTGTAATTGTAGAATGAGACTCCCACACGGACGTACTCATGATCATAACCAATTGTTACCGTAGCCAACCTTGTGCATACACACATCAATGTATACATAAAGAGATAGAACAGAACAATTGACATGAAGCATTTATTGTCATTGATTGTCCCACCTCCACAAGTCCAGCTTGTGGTCGTAGAACGAGCACGTGGCAATGGTAGACACAGCCGACAGCCGAGACGATCGGTGCCAATCAGCACCATACGCCAGCGACGCATGTTCCTCATAACTGTGTACGATATTCAGCTCTGATAGGGATTCACACGAGTTGCATGATTGTAAGCCGAGACTAAGTAGTTGATGAGGTATTTGGCTACCTTAAACGAATGAGTCATAGTCGCACGCTCATATGGATGCGCGCTGGTTACTTCTGGGATGTGGACTGGAGATGGAGATACTGCGTGCTCACATGTGATTCTGTTCTAAACCTGCCAGCGCTTCAAACGCAGAAAGTGTGTGTGTTCATGCAGAGGGGCACATGGCTATGGGTAAGCCGACACCTTGAACCTTACAGACCCTATGGTACTCTATCCACTTCGGGTGCGTTGGCAGCAGAGAATGTGTGCATACTTGTGAGAGTTTGCATGTCTTTGTTTGATGTGAAGCGGTGATGTGTTCACACCAGAGCAGACGATGTGTGAACACATGACGAGAGGGACGTGGGACGTGGGTTGGTTGTACTCCGTCTATTGACTGGTATGTTGGAGTAGAGAGCGTGTGCTTGAGGCGGTAGCTTTGGACGAGTGATGCCAAAGTGTATAGGACACCCATCCCTCGAATGTCAAACGCCTGTAAATATGATTGTATACATATATATACATACCCACACACCCGCATCCACACATATACACACATACACGCATACTTATCCCCCCCCCCCCTTTCTCTATAGATAACCCAGGGGTTTGATTCAATCATAAAGGTCTCGTAAATTTCCATAGCGTTAGTTATACGTGTGTATTGCTCAATATGCAAATCCATCTAGTGATTATATCTACACAGTGTACACATATACAGAACATACAAATATCAATGGATATTTATACCTGAGATTTAAAACAATGATATGG